CAAATAATTTTTGATTATTCACAACTTTTGAAGAAGCAACACAAGAAAGCGAAGAGACCATACATTCACAAACATTTTTTATAGGAGTTGGTGGTAGTTTCGTATTTGCTTTCCAAATTTCAGACTGAGGAGGGCATTTAGAAGACTCAACATTTGTTGGTGTATAAGAGTCCATTAATAATGCGTTACTTGGTGGGACAGTTATTTTAGAAAATTGTAATTTAAGGTTCATAAAATCAATCAATTTTTTAACATTGCCGTCCTTATCGATTTCTACAAGACCGTATGAATTAATTTCTTGAGACCATTCATAGACTATACCACCTGACCAGACCGAAGTCATCCGTGGACTATAGATTGTTAAAACTTCAGTGAATTTACGCGGAATAACTGTATTACAACCGTACTCGGAAAGGATTACTGGAATGTTATAAGTAGAGAATTCATCAGTTCGGTCGGCGTATCCAGACGTTTCAAATGAGCTATCACCGCACCATTCGTACAAATTTACACCGTAAAAATCCGCCTATAAAGTATTTAAATATTCATTAATAAATTTTATTAATTAACACTTATTTTATTTTTTTAACAACAACTTTAATACCTGCTCACTCTTGTTTCCACAATTAAAGAATTCCTTCAATTGAATTCTAACATCTTTATCATCATTACTAGAATATCCTACTGGTATAATACGTCCTTTATTCTCTTTCGCATTTACCCTAATGTACTCTTTAATGTCACGTATCGCAGCCTTAACAAACGAACTTGCTTCAGTATTAGATTTATTATTCGTGACTTCATTGCCAGCAAAAAATGCCAATGTGTTGGGATACTTAATGAACGCATTGACGGTGGCAATATAATTTTGAAATAGTGATAAGGTCCATTGTGGATTATCACGGATTATATTAGATTTTAAAGTAGCTAGATCGAGGATTAGATATATACCAGCTTCGGCAAAATAATTCATGCATGAATCGTGATTTTTATCATTATCAACCTTTGATAATAAAAATGTTATACAAAAAATATATATATTATAGAGTTTAATTATATTACAAAGTTTTACCTCATAAACACGAATAACATTAAAACCCAATTCTTTTATTAATTTAATGTCACGTTTGCAAGCATCAGGTTGTGCCAATGGATCCGCATAATCAGAACCTAGTCCACGTGGTTGATATGCTACTCCATTTACAAAAAATTGTTGCTTTGTAACCGAGTCAAAAAATTTACTCCCTTTGATTTCTACTTGATTTATTGTCAAAACTTGCGAAGTTACGACGAAGAGAATAACGGATGTAATGATTAAGAATGGCGATTGTAGTTTATGGTGGAAGCACGAAAACATTCTTACTATATATTTTGTTAACTAACTACAAACCGTAATCCTGATATTTTAACCCTAACTTAATGAAAATAAATGATTTTGTCAAACATCTTCAATATTTTTATAAGATATAGATTCATGAAATTTCTGACATATATAGTTAAATATATTAAGCTTTAACGTTAACATACGATATAAGTACGTACTTGTTATTAGTCATTATATTATATTCACTAGCTGAGTCATTATGGCATAGTTATGACGAAGTATCCTAAATTAACGATTTTTATAACATGATCCAAAATAACATTAATTCCTACTGTATGTACTTAAGCATCTGCTGTTTTTTTGCATGCTATTGGGTCACTTCTAATGCCGATACATAATTTCACTCCAAATTGAAAGTTAGTGAAATTTTTGTATTATGTATTAGAAGCAGGATAATAGCCAGGTACTTTTACTTAGGAAATTTATAATAATTCGTTTTATTCCTTTAATTTTCATATATTAAGATACTCCAAATATGTCATAATTAAATCTTTTTTAATAAAATCATAAATATCTATATATTAATTAATTAATTAGTTGGGGTCTTTGCTATGAAAATCGTGCTAATTCGGACATACATTGACAAAAAGTAGCTGTTCTTATTTATATGTCAATCGTCTTTTACCTTTATATTGACTTAATATTGAACAAATTATTAAATCAATAAAGGCAAATGACGATTGACATATAAATAAGAGCTGTTGTTTTGGTCTATGTATTGTATGTCCGAATTATCTGATAACGTAATGATAATTTAACGAACGTTGAAAAATGTTGTCAGGGGCATAAATTTATGGCGATACTGTAATATTGTGTCCATAGATTGCTAACTGAATTAAGTTCTTCGATTGGTCAGATTAGCCAAACCAGATTTTTTTTTTCACGACTTAAATACGTTTTTATGAATATACAGTATGCCTATTTTTTACATTTTAAAAAATTTTTTATTTAATTTTTTGATAGATACATATTCAATGAAAAGATTTGTTATAGGTTACAAGAGCTGTTTATTTAATAAAAAGCTTTATAAAATAAAATTTTAAATGAAATTTATTAATGAAACTAGCTCATTCACAGACAAAACTAAAATCACCGCCATTTACATGTATAAGCTGTATACCCCAAGATTTCAATTGATAAATTTGTTCTTTTCTTTCCTTATGATCAGTATTATTATTATTATTATTAGTTCTAATAAAGATCTTTTTGGGAAACTTATACTTGTTCATTTTAGCAGTATTCAATAATATATCAAGAAGTTGATAGCTCATTCCTTTAGATAGGCTTAAATCCCAATACTCCAATTTTACGCGTAAATACTGGAGGAAAATACCAAAAGATTTATCTGAGATATCACTATTATTTTTAGTAATTAAAGTAAAGCTACGTAAATTAGAAGGCAAAAGTGCAGCGAGCATTCTATAGTCATCTTCAGTATATGGAATGAAGGAATTTGAAATTGAAAGATGATTAAGATTTTTACAAGATTGAAGTAAAGAAAATAAAGCAGGAATGGCTTCAAAGTTAACAGTGGATTCAAATGAAACAAGATTCGTACAGAAATAAGAAATATTTTGAATAACATTTGAAATGTTTTGCCGAATTCCTACTATTAAATGAATCTCCTTTAAAGAATTAGTATTTTGAATAAAATCAATCAAATCAACAGGGAGTGAATTCTGATTTATATATAATTTTTGTAGCTTTGGAAAATATTTTGTGCCAAATGGCATTTTCTTTAAATTAAGTTGAGTATCGTAGTATATTGTCAAGGATTTTAAATTATCCCAAGTTATTTGTTTTGAATCATATGAAGGAATTCTATCAATAAAGGAATTTCTAATTTCAATAGATTTAAGGGAACTCGCTTGTGTTAACAACGATAAAAGCACTTTACTTGATCCAGAAACTACATAAGGATGTGGTATAGAATAAGGATTATTTCCTAGATAAATATGTTCAAGCGCAACCTGTGTTTTAATTAATTCTGATATTGTGGATTCTCCAACGCAAAATGATGCAATTTTTAATGATTTGAGATTTCGACATATTTTAGAATAATAATTGTTTGATGTAAATTTTTCCATGGTTGCGGGAGAAAATTCTTTAATATTCGCTAAAAAATTTTCAATTCCAGTTAATTCAAACAAAACTCTATGATCGAAAGGTGGATCTATTTGTTCAGAATGAAGGTCAAGACATTCGATTCTTGCACCACAATTCAAAAAAACTTTAAAAAATTCAATAAAAAGAGGTGAGAACCATATATCATTTAATTGTTCAGTTTGCGTAAAACCTCTAAAAGATAAATTAGAATATCGTAACCATGATTTATTCACGTTATCTACGTTGTCTCCTTGAATATTTTGTAAATTACTACTATACCATAAAATTAAACATGCCCTTAGGTTATCATATTTGAAATGGCGTAAGAAGGAAGGATAAATAAAAGTTTTTTTTTTGCCCATTTGTCGGATAAAGATTATGTGGCCAATTTACGCCTTGGAATAGGAGTGATGTAAGAGCTTCATCGGTAAGAAAAGAAGAGTAAATATTGATAAGCTTGTTAGATGCTCTATCGTTATTATTTAAAATAAATGGTTGTTTCCATAATACGGGTATGGCTATTTTGCACCATCTTCGATTAACAAGAATACAAGTATGAAGCGACGTTTTGTCAAAGCTAAGATATTGAAATATTTCTTCAAGAATTTCCGGTAAAAGATCCATGTTGAAGCGCAGTATACAGACAATGGTTACAAAAATGGTTATCGATTCACGAAAGTTACACAAAACAAAATGCATACGTAGACGGAATTCAGATTTCTCGTATTCTGCAATATTGAGAAAAAATTTGGTTTTAGTAATTATATGCGTATTAACGTTAATAGTTATTTGAGGTTACGATCAAGAAATATTAAATTCAGATGGTTCTTAAGAAAAAAGAGAATTGCACTTATCAGTATTAATATCATATTTTCCCTACGCGGGCTGTGATTTCAGTTCCATTGACAGTCATTTTATCGACAATCATTTCACCGATAAAACTAACCTAAACCTAATCCTAAATCGGGCTAAAATATGTCGGTGAAATGACCTATTCGGTAAAATGAGTGTCGGTGAAGTGAACGGAACCGGTGATTTTCGTTATGTTTGCAGATTCTGCGGTGACATATAAATAATACTTTAAAAATAAAATTAGAAAAAAAAGTCAAGCAAAAATCACAATATATTACCAATAGTTTATTATTCTGAGTAAAATTCTGCCACCACAGATTTCTGGACACATTAATTTACATATTTTAGGTTTTATGATCATTGCAGTCAATCTTTTAAGAACAGTTTACTTGTCAAATATATAACAGAATATAGGTTTCTTATAATCTTTTATCACCACTTACTATTGGGAGTTTTTTTTTCGTCCTAAGCAGGTGTACCGAATAATTGATTGTAGAGGCAATTAATTGCAATTATTTTATCCACAATCGATGAATTGATGTCAAGTCACATATTATACAATTAAATTTTACTAAAACGCACTTGTGGTGTTTTACACCTATGCATGCATTATCTCAAAAACTAATTAATCAGTACGAGGTGTTCTAAGTAAAAATGTTCTTCGCCCCTGAAAACCTTCCCAAACCCTAATACTAATTTAAAAACTAACCCTAAGATGAAAAAATTTAAGTCAAAAATTTCTATAATAAAACTTATAAAAACAAACAATTTAAAAAACATAATAGGTGTGTTTTATACGTAATAATTGTTGCAATTCGTCAGGCAAATCCGCAGTAAATAGATATTTAATAGATATCATGCATAATCACGGGCAGTTATAATGTATCATTGGGGCACTAACTATGCAAGGTACAGAATTTTTTTGTATTATTTGATAGTGTCACATGGGGAAATTAGGTTCCGGGTAGGGTTGTGTTACAAAAATTACAATCTTACATTACTTGTAATTTTACGTAAATCAAATTACACGTAAGTTTGGTCACATGATATAAAGTACTGGGATTAGGGCAAAAGTTTCATTTTTGATAGATATGCGGTTACATTTTGATAGATCTCAAAATTTGATTACGTTCTTGATGCATTTTTAGTAAATATTTTTGAACTTTGAGCGAATATATCTCAATAACTACTTGACCAAATTCGAAGAATTTTTTTTTTTTTTGGTTTAATTCTATAGATATATGGAATTCAAATAAAAAAAATTCATCAATTTTAATCGGGCGGTTGTTGAGATATTTTCACTCATAGTAAACAAATTCAAAACGTCTATTAAAATAGGTGCGCCAATTTTTTTCTAAAACTTTGAGCGAAGATATCTCAATAACTACTCGACCAAATTCGATGATTTTTTTTGTTTTAATTCTACAAATATATAGAATTCAAATAAAAAAAAAATTCATCGATTTTGGTCAGGCGGTTGTAGAGATATTCTCGCTCAAAGTTTTATAAAAAATTTTGCACTAGATGTTTTGGATTTGTTTACTAACTTTGAGTGAAAATATCTCAACAACCACCTGATCAAAATCGATGAATTTTTTTTTATTTGAATTCCATATACTGTTGACCCTCCCAAAATCGGTATGCATAGTGGATATATCTAATATCAGTTTTGAAAGGTTATCGGATTTGAAAATATCACGTGATATAAAATTAACCAATCAAATAACAGAATAAAATATAATATATTCACATAAAATTATAACATTATAAAAGCTTTAGATTTATAATAATTCTGTTAAAATTTTTTATTTAAGTCTGAAAATAGCAAATAATATATGCTGTAATTAAAATTAAAATCAGCCCAATTCAAAATCAGATGCAAAAATAATAGATTATCACTGATTAAATATTTTTCCTAATAGAGTTCTTAAAAAAACCTGAGGCTAATTTTTTATAAAATGCTTAGTTATAATAAGGATGTCAAAGTCTTGATTCTTGATTAATCTATAATATTGATTTCAATGTAAACCTATTAATTTACCTAATATTGATCCTTAAGATAATAAATAAAATATTGATATATCTGAATTCTGTACTAAAAACTTTTATTATAATTGAAAATAATTGCAGAATTATTTTATATTGATTATTTTTTCTCAAATACTGTATTGATTTTTAAATTAGATTGAGTAGTTATTATTAGGTTTCAAATTTTTGCGCTATTGTTTTATACTTTGATAGTAATATGTTTTTAAGAAATAATATGTAAATTAAATTTTTTTATACCTATTTGGAACAGTACTAACAATCTATCAAGAATAATATTTTTACAAATTGGGCTATTCCAGATAAACATTTTGTAAATTATTTAGCAGATCTGAGTTTTAGAATTAGTTAGAACTAAGATTTCGAATATATTTTAGGAAAAGATCACAAAATTCTTATCTAGAATCCTGGTTCTAAATCTAATTTCAATTTGAATACAGCAAATATATATTTCAAATTAATGTTCACACCAGATTAAAATAATTATAATCCTGCTAATGCCTACTATTCTTATCCTAACAAATGTTTCTAACTTAATCTCACTTATACTTACTACTTTTACTTAACAAATACTTCTAGCCTAATCCTGCTAATATATACTAACAGATGCTTCTAACCTAAGATATATTCTAACCTTATCTCACTAATATCTACTACAGTACTCTTACCTAACAGATATACGTAATCGAATTCTAAAGAAACTAAATTAATATTAAATATATAAAAGAAGATTTTAATCCTCATATCGATATTAGTAAGTATTGCTATTACAACTGAACGTGAATGTACATGTTTTTATAAAATTAAAAAAATATAACCTTTTTCTTATCTAGCAATTTATACAAATATATAGCCAGAATCAGATCTTTTCAACTTTGATGTTTATAACTTAGCCTGAAAACTGACTAGTAATATGTACTTAAACTGTATGTATCATGTCACTATCAAATTTCAAAAATTGAGTCTATTAGTAATAAACTTGAAGCCTTATAGTCCTTTAGATAACACTATTTAAGAAATTTGATTATGTATACTGCTAAATAGAGCAAATCAAGAATAATACATAAAGACCAAAAATTAATCAATATTAATTTCTAGTTAAAAGCTAAAATCGGAAAATGAATAATCATATTACTAAAATAAACCTTATATAATAATTCTGCAGTATTTATTCATGGTGATCACTGTGATCCTAAAAACATGATAGATGACCTGATATGAACTCAAAAAAGTAAAGTAATTAAAATAATAATAATAAGACTAAAATAAGAGAAATCCTGAATAAGACGCGTAAAAATTTTAGTATCAAATTCGTGAAAATGATAAAATTAAATACTTTAAAATAGAAAAAAGAATACTCATATCATGCTGCCAAAGATAATAAATTGCTATAACTATTGATTAAAAGATAGATAAGTTAGAAACATTTGTTAGGATAAGAATAGTAGGCATTAGCAGGATTATAATTATTTT